AGGAGGAGACCTGGACGTCATCGACTGCGGGGACGGGGGACGGTCAGGGCTGCGGTGTCCCCGACACCCGAGGGGGGGGGTCCCTGCACCCCCAAACTGCCCCAGCACCCCCAGCCGGCCCCGGCCCCACCACGCCCCTTGTCCCCAAAGCGTCCCCTGGTCCCCAGAGTCTCCCATCTCCCAAGCGTCCCCCATCCCTGCCACCTTCCCATCAACGTCCTGTCCCCAAAATGTCCCCCTGTCCCCGTATCCCCTGTCCCTGCTGAGCCCCCATCCCAATGTCTCCCTATGTCCCCTGTCCCCAACGTGTCCCCAACGTGTCCCCAATGTCTCTTTGTGTCCCGTATCCCTCCCGAGCCCCCCGTCCCCAACATGTCCCCAGTGTGTCCCCATGTCCTCTGTCCCTGCTGAGCCCCCATCCCCAATGTCTCCCTATGTCCCCTGTCCCCAATGTGTCCCCAGTGTGTCCCCATGTCCCACATCCCTCCCGAGCCCCATCCCCAACATGTCCCCAATGTGTCCCCATGTCCCCTGTCCCTGTTGAGCCTCCTGTCCCCAACATGTCCCCAGTGTGTCCCCACGTCCCGCATCCCTGCTGAGCCCCCTGTCCCCAACATGTCCCCAACGTGTCCCCAGTGTGACCCCATGTCCCGCATCCCTCCCGAGCCCCATCCCCAACATGTCCCCAATGTGTCCCCATGTCCCCTGTCCCTGTTGAGCCTCCTGTCCCCAACATGTCCCCAGTGTGTCCCCACGTCCCGCATCCCTGCTGAGCCCCCTGTCCCCAACATGTCCCCAACATGTCCCCACGTCCCGCATCCCTGCTGAGCCCCCTGTCCCCAACATGTCCCCAACGTGTCCCCAGTGTGACCCCATGTCCCGCATCCCTCCCGAGCCCCATCCCCAACATGTCCCCAATGTGTCCCCATGTCCCCTGTCCCTGTTGAGCCTCCTGTCCCAAACATGTCCCCAGTGTGTCCCCACGTCCTGCATCCCTGCTGAGCCCCCTGTCCCCAACATGTCCCCAGTGTGTCCCCA